AAACTCAATTTCAAACTAAAATCGGTATTCTTCATACCGACAATGGCACTGAATATTTTAATGAAGTACTAGGAAGTTTTTTTGAAAGAAAAGGGAATTCATCATCAGTCAACATGTATTGATACACCTCAGCAAAATGGCATTGCTGAGAGAAAAAATAAACACTTACTTGAAGTTTCTCGTGCTATCATGTTTTCTATGAATGTTCCTGAATGTCTATGGGGCGAGGCTGTTTTAACTGCATCTTACTTGATCAACAGAATGCCTACTCATGTTCTTAATTACATCACTCCTCTTGAGTGTCTAAAAATAGTTTTTTCAGCAACACGAATTCAATCCAACCTACCCTTAAAGGTTTTTGGTTGTACTACGTTTATTCATTTACCCAATAAAGGTCGGTCAAAATTGGATCTAAAGCTGAAAAATGTGTCTTTATAGGATATGCTCCAAATAAAAAGGGATATAAATGTTTTAATTCCCAAACTAGGAAATTTTTTTGTTAGCATGGATGTTTCATTTGTGGAAACACAACCTTATTTTTAGAAAACTTTTCTTCAGAGGGAGAAGGAAAATGAAGAAATTTTTTGGGATGTTCCCTTACCTAAAACCATTGTGTTTGAACCTGGCTTTAAAGAATAGGAAATTAATACCACTTTGAAGTTAAGGAAAACTGGTGAACCTAACCAAAGCTTGCCAAACGTGATTATGTCTTCGCCAGGGGGATAAATACTACCTACAGTTCCAAGAGAACCCAACTCAGATCTTTTGGTTTATTCCAAGAAAAGAAGTCAACAAAAGGGTAGGGATCTATCTATCATCGTTGCACAAAACTAATCGAAAACTCTGAGTAATGAACTCTTGAACCAACCAGGTACACAAAATTCTGTTTTACAAGTTTTATCGTCCATTTTTCTTACCTTATCACCCATCTCTAAGTCTAATACACCTTCCATGGAACCTCAAGCACCCATTCTTGAGTCTAATGATCCTTCTGTGAAACCTCAGGATCTTAATATTCCTATAGCTCTTAGAAAAGGAATTCGCTCTTGTACCAAACATCCCATTGCAAAATACCTTTCGTATGATAAACTCTTTCTTAATTATAGGGCTTTCACATAAAAAAAAATCTCTCACTTATTTGTTCCAAGAAATATTCAGGAAGCACTTGGTGATCCAAATTGGAAATTAGCAGTGATGGAAGAAATGAATGCTCTTAGAAAAAGTGGAACGTGGGAAATTGTGGATTTACCTAGAGAGAATAAGATAGTTGGATATAAATGGGCATTTACAGTTAAATGTAAAGCTGATGGAAGCTTAGAGAGGTATAAAGCAAGGCTTGTAGCTAATGGTTTTACACAAACATATGGAATTGATTACCAAGAAACTTTTGCTCCAGTGGCCAAAATAAATTCCATCCGTGTTCAATTATCTTTGACAGTCAATTCTAACCGGCGATTATACCAGTTGGATGTTAAGAACGCCTTCTTAAATGGTGATTTAAAGGAAGAGGTGTTTATGAGCTTGCCACCAGGATTTAAGGAGAAGTTCGGTCAAGATAAGGTTTGCAGACAGAAAAAATCCTTATATGGCCTCAAGTAGTCTCCAATAGCATGGTTTGAATGCTTTGGAAAAGTCGTGAAGGGATATGGTTATTGTCAGAGTCAAGTAGACCATACTATGTTCTTCAAACACACTGAAAATGGGAAGACGGTTGTTCTGATCGTTAATGTAGACGACATAATATTGACAGGGGATGATATTGAAGAACTAGCAAGCTTGAAGAAAAAACTTGCGGAGGATTTCGAAATTAAAGATCTAAGAATACTAAAGTATTTTCTAGGGATGGAGTTCGCCAGATTAAGAGAAGGCATATTCGTAAATCAACGGAAGTACATACTTGATTTACTTGGAGAAACAAGGCTCCTTGGTTGCAAAGCTGCTGAAACTCCAATTGAAGCCAACTTAAAACTTAATACTGCTAAACCTGAGAATGTTATAGACAGAGATAAGTATCGACGCTTGGTAGGCAGATTAATTTACTTGTCTCATATTCGCCCAAATATTGCATTTGCAGTCAACATGGTGAGCCAATTCATGCAATCTCCTGGACAGGAACATTTTAATGCCGTTTACATGATTCTGAGATATTTAAAAGGAACTCCAGGAAGAAGTTTGTTATTTAAGAAGCATAGTCATTTACATGTTGAAGTCTATATAGACACAGATTGGGCAGGAAGCGTGATTGACAGACGATCAACCTCAGGTTATTGCAAGTTCGTTAGAGGAAATCTTATCACGTAGAGGAGTAAGAAATAAAATGTTGTTGCTAGAAGCAGTGCAGAGGCTGAGTTCAGGTCACTTGCTCACAGAATCTGTGAAGTGTTATGGATATGAGGGTCTACTGTGACAATAAGGCAGCTATCTCGATTGCTCACAATCCAGTTCTTCACGACAGAACCAAGCACATTGAGGTAGACAAACACTTTATCAAAGAGAAACTTGAAAGTGGCCTGATTTGTATACCCTATGTTCCTACTATTGATCAAGTTGCAGATATACTCACGAAGGGGCTACACAAGAAGCAGTTTGCCACCTTGACGAACAAGCTAGCTATGGAAGATATCTACAAGCCAGCTTGAGGGGGGTGTTGGAAAGGAGAATATTTGGTGGTTATTGAATCGAATTTTAGGAGTAGAATAGGCGTGTAAATATAGACAGAAAGAGATTTTGTCAACTGCTAGAAATTACGAAAAAAATGCTGGTGTACAGTTGTTAGTTTCCTAATTTATCTCCCTGTAATTCTGTTTAAGAAATACTTTGTAAACAATTTATACACACGACAATATACTTTTTTCTCTCCTTATATATATATATATATATATATATATATATATATATATATATATTAATCTTCCGTATTTTGATGTTCAATTATAATGCTTTTATGTTAAACAATGTGCTATACATGTTGGTCGCCTTGGGATTGCATTGGAGTAGGCTTGGGAAGTGATCTAAATGATCACATGCCTTTGGGGCATGGGAACTGATCTAAACGATCACACGGCTTTGGGGCATGATCTAAATGGTTAGATAGGCCTGGTAGTAGGTGATTTTGGCCAGATCCCTCATCTGTGCACACAAATCCTTTGAAGTGTGCACACAGATGATCGTCCCATGTGTGCGCACAGTTCCCTTATGTATGCGCACAGATGGTCCAATAATTACATTTTGATCCCAAACTTTAGTTTAATTACATAATTACCTCCAGACTTCAACTAAATCATAGAATGGACATAGAAAAATGACAGATTTTCCCCAGATGAGTTAAAAAGCTATAACAATTGTATTAAATGACTATCTTACCCTTTTTGGGTTTTAAAGCACTATTTGACCACATGAAAGGACTATTTCACCCTTATGGGCTCTACACTTATCATAATGAAGTGAAATGACCATATTACCCCCGGAATCCATCTTAACCACTGGATGAACCTGTTGAATAACTATTTTACCCTTAAAGGGTCTTAAAGTTCTAAATTAATGTGAAATGATCGTAGTACCTCGGTGTGTCCTTGGGTTCGGGTATGGACCTGGGTAGCGATCCGAATCCCCGAATTTGAGTCATTATAATATATATATATCTATCGACTATGTATATATTGCATAAGTTAGCTAGGGATATGTCGCTCATCGGGTCTCTATTTGGGTTATTGTAGAAAGGACTTGTTCATGGTTTTGACCCATCTTTGCTATATTTTTCAGGTCCTCGTCAATAGCAGATTTAAAGGTTGTTCGTGCGAAACAGAGACTATTCTTCATCACTCTTCCGATATCATCGACGTAGGATTCTACTAATGTATTTATTATCCATGATTTAGACATTTATCTTTATTATTTTCAGTTTTGGGATTTATTTTATTAGGGGTCCATGAAACGGATTTCTGAGTTGTATTCTAGAGAATTATTATGCTGGGAATTTATTGGATTTATTCTGAGAATGGCTTCAGAGGATTTATTTTAATTATTATTTAGTTTTCCCTTTTCAACAATATTATTTATTCTATTTGTATCATGTGTTCGTTTATTATCAATTTGTTTTGATATCCCTCGGTTCTTGGGTGAGGACTTGATCAACCTTTGTTTTTTTTTTTTTGGGGGGGGGAGGGGGGGGGGGGGGGGGGGACTCTTGAGCGTCATACGTTGCTTTGCGATGGGCCTTCTGATGTACGTATCGCCTATTGATTGGAGGAGAATTTCCCTCTACAGTTGACGATGATGGTTTCAAGTGGTTCAGTGAGTGAGATAAGGGAGGAGGTTATTGGGTGAGGACTTGATCAATCTTTGTTTTTTTGGGGGGGGTGGGGTGGGGTTGCTTTGCGATGGGCCTTCTGATGTATGTATCACCTATTGATTGGAGGAGAATTTTCCCTCCACAGTTGACGATGATGGTTTCAAGTGGTTCAGTGAGATAAGGTAGAAGGTAACTTTGGTTTTTTAAGAGTGATAATTATGGTCTTGAAAAAAAAAAGAGGCAACTTTAGTTTCTCAGTCCAACCAACCAGGTTAGGAGAGTGTCAAACCACAGTCGCGATGATAACACTTAGGCGATGATGGTTAGCAAACTTCTGCATAAACTAGTGGTCACATGAATGTGTGAGTGGAGAGCAAGTAAATAGATGATAAGTTAAGATGCCTAAACATATCGTACTCTAATCTTATTAAATTATACTCCCTTCGTCCTAAATTTAGTGTTACAGAAATCAATTGCAACACTAAATATGGGACGGAGGAAGTATAATTTAACAAATGGTAATGAAAATAAAGAATAAGTTTTGTAAAATAGAAAAAAGAAAAGAAAAAACAGAACTGGTTTACTAATTATTTTAAAACCTGATATTAAAATTAAAAGTGAATATATTAGAAATCAAAACTGAACCGTTTTATAAATTTTAATTTGGGATCAGATTGAACCAAACTGAATCGTCCGGTTGGATGTCCGATGCACCCATGCCTCGTTGAATGGACTTGGTGGAAATAATTTTACACTTGCCGACGAGGACTAATCAGACCTGCTTGACGCATAGTCTGCTCTTTGGTGTTACGTGGGCGGCGGCGAGCGACCGACCGACCATCAGGTGCCACGTGTCATTACTGCGGACCCCAATTCACGATTTAAGTACACCTCTGTGAAAATTCAATGTCCGTCCAAAGAAAACAAAAGGTACTGCTGCTAATAACAAGTGAAGGCAGCTTTCCCTCTTCACTCTGGTTTCCCTCTCTTTTCTCCGGTTCTTTACCTGCTCTCTCCCTCTCTCTATTTCGCGGTTTCAATATATTCTGTATCGTTTCTCTTCGTTGACATCGCAATGTGATATTTCTGATAAGTCTCTGAGAAATTTCAGCATATTCGGAGCTCACGCTGGTCTCTGAGTCCATAATTGATACAAGGTGCTTTTCTGAATCTCCTTTGTTTCTGTTTGTATACAAGTTTTTATTTCTTGTTTTCGGGTCATAAAGAGCTCTCTCTCTACATGTGTGTGTGTGTGTATATATATATGTATGTATGAAATTTTGCTGTATATATATATATATATATATATTCTTTATCATGTTTGAACTGCTGAACTATGCCTTTTTGTGTTATTTTAATGATATGATTTGGGTCTTTGTTTTCTGGACATATTATTGATAATTATACTTAAAATACATGCATTTATGTAGACGGGTACATAATGGAAATTGTTTGCTAATACGAGCATGCAAGATTGCAAATGCATCTGGCGTTAAAGGGTAAAACCGGACTATGGTTCTATGAATGACTGACGTTTTGATGAAATTGTGAAAACTTGGTAAAGCATGCAGGGTTGCAATTTTTTTTTTTTCCCCAATCCGTGATGTAATAATGATAAAAGAATCACGCAGAAATAATTTTTTGGGATTTATAATGTATAATATAATTGATTAAACAGATAAGATGCAGTCATTATAGATCAAAATTTTGTGATGCTCATGTTGATGCGTGGGCATTCTAGTTCAATTTGGTAATGATGTTTGTGAATTAAATGGAGGACATCATCACCTTTGGCATGAATTGGGGGTGACTTTCAGAGACCATAATGTAAGCGGTCACGAATGCCATAATTCATTCTATTTGTTGATGGGCATAATTAAGTGCTTTGAGCAGGGAAAGAGGCATTTCGTTTGGTCAAGGCTTGGAGATTTTTAAAATAAATTATAGAAAACACATGTAACAATCTTGTTTGCCATGTATTTGCTCCAGGTGCTAGGGATTAAAACTGGGACAGACTTAACCTATGGAATTATATTTTCACAATATGTTTGCTTTGTGATTTGCATCTACGATCTCACACTTGTTGGTCCGAGTACCAGTAGACTCAGCAGTCCTAATGATGAGTGTATTACTTATATAGGAAATCCTTTCATGTCTCTTATGTTCTTTGAGGGGAGCGGACCGGGGGGTATCATTTTGTGTTATCTAGTCGAAGACTGTCAGGTTGAGAAAGGTTTGATATAGTTTTGTGATCTTAATTCTTCTCATAGATAGTGTGTGATTTCCCCTTGAACATATGCACTTTCCAAAACAATAACACATTTTATGATTATGCTAGTTGTTTTGTTTCTTCTGTCCTAAAATCCTATCCCACTGTAAAAAAAAATAAAAGATAAAAATTACATATGAAGGATAGGAGTTCTGTCCTAAAATTCTGCATTTGAACTTAAAATTCATATTTCTTGGTGGTATTTTTTTTCATGTTTGTAGAAAGAAGTATTTAAATGCTTTTTGCAAGTTTTAACTTTGCTGATTATGAGTGAACTGTAACGGTGACTACTATGTTCTTGACTTTTCAAGGTTGGCATTTTGAAGAAAATGTTAGATGACGGACAAGGAGAGTGCAATTCTAGAATTGTGGTAGATGCATCCAGTGACAGATCCATGACTTGGAATGAAATTGGAAACTTGCCTGAAAAGAAGCTTTCTCAGGTACAGCTTGTTTTTCCTTTTCTTTTTTCTTTCTTTTTTTTGGTAGGTAGGTAAGGTTAATTAATTCTTAGCCAAGTTAATGTAATTGAATCATACTAGATTTCCTCTTTCCAAATTCAGCCCATACTATGCCTTATGTCTGGGAAGGTACTTTCTGTTTATAAACCTTTTAATAATAATTCATTTTGCCATTATTGAATGCTATTTTGATTAAATTAAATATTTAAATGCTTTTCCTAGAAATGGCTATTTTACTGGGCCGATACTAAGGAGCAGTCAAAAATTTGTATCCATTTTTCATGATATTATGCATGGATCAGATATATCATGGCAAATTCTTTAGAAAAAATTGTGTCTTCCACAATGGAATCGGATAAGTGAGATTTTGAGTAAGTGCTTACATAATCTTCTTTTGTCCGAATAAATGATTCATTGAAATAATGAGTCACCATTGATATCGACACATCTGAGATCAGTATTTTGGTTTTACTAGTTTACTGCTGAAGTCACCTATTTAATATTGGGCAAAAATAGTATCAGAGCATTACTCTTACCTGATTTCATTCTCAGCCACAGCCATAAATAAACCAGAGACAGCAAAAAAGAAAAACAACCTTAGGCCCACAATGGATTCAGAAACTCTTAGGACAGGATATTTTCTATCAATTGAAGACCAAAATCCATATTTTCAATCAATTTGAAGACCAAAATCAATGAAGGCAGGAAGTATACAACGGTACTGATCCAGCAAAAAGAAGAAGAAGAGAAAAGTAAAGGAAAGAAAAAATAATATGTCAAATAAAATCCAAAAAAATAATCTATACATGGATCAGAAATTCCCTATATGCAGCCATAAAGCGAATTCAAAAACTCATGCTTCACCTTGAATATTGGAAGCTCCATCGATAAAAGTGCCACAATTCCTTTCCTTTAAAATCCACCATCTGGGACAAAATGGTGCCATATTCCATGTTGAGCGTCTACTCCTACTTGCTGAACCATAAATTAACCATCAAACCCTTCATGAATGTCAAACAACATCCTAAAGAGGGGAAACACGTGGGACCACATCACTCCAGATAGTCTGCAATGAATAAGATCAGTTTGAGTACAACTTGACATGTTGGGAGAAGGTGCTCTTTCCTTTAAATGTGAGGTTTTGGAATTTTAAAGCTTACTATGTTTTAATCAAGTTTTGCTAGAATATAGATGAGATTTGCTGCTGAGGGGCTGTTTCATGCTTATGGAGGAAGGATTTAGGGGTGAAAATATAGGGTTGCTAGTGAAGATTGGTTCACTAAAGAGGTCAGGAACTCGTAGGGACGGGGTTATGGAATGGTATTAGGAGAGATTGGGGCTTGATATTTGGTGCAGGGGAGGGTCACTTACAACATAGTTATTCTAGATCCTTTTGCATTAGCAGCAAACGAGAAAGCTTTGTCGCAGATTATCTTGGACTAGCAGGGATGCTGTTGTTCAGGATTCCCTTTACAAGGTTTTGTGAATGATTGGGCCGGATTATTTGGTGAGCTGCATGGAGTTAGTGGTATTGATGGGAAACTATGATGTTAGGAATTGTGTCTCAAATTCCTAGTTTAATTAGGTTTCTATTTTAGATTTGTATTTTTTAGTCAATTTCCCATTATACAAGTCTTGGGCTCTAAGGAACTGTAATCCTTGTCTAACAAGGAATTGGGTTTGGAACTCTATAAACAAATACCTAGGTTAGGAGTTGAGACTTGTGAGATTGAGAGAGATGTAGTCTTATGTGGGAGTTTATGGATAGATGTAGTTTATGGATTGGTATAGTAGGAAAAATACCAGTGACACTAATAGCAAGGAGATAGGCTTGTGGAGTTGTACATAGCGAAATGACATGTATTCGTTGTTGGTATTCTATCGTTGTAAAATCTCTAGGGAAATCATAGTAGAATATCTTCTCATCTGTGGATGTAGACCGGTTTTGGCCGAACCACGTTATTTCTTGTGTTTTTGTATGAATGCTTTATTGTCTTTCATTGGATCTTGATGTTTGCGTGCTTCCATTGTCTCAACAAATTGTTATCAAAGCCGAAGGTGATGAAGATCCACAAAAACACAAGGAGTGTTAATAGGTGCTATAATGGGTTTTAGTTGCAGGAGGAGTCAAGCAATTGGCTTGTTTGATCATTCATGGCGTGGAGCTCGATTAGTAAAGGTGGTGGAGGGTGATTTTGAGCAGACATGGGGAGGCGAGTGGAGGATGGTTCACTCCCTAGGTGAGATTCCTATATGAGGTTGGGGTTTGGAAACACATTCAGAAGGGGTGGGACTAATTCTCCAAGCATATCAAATTTCATGTTAGAAATGGGAGGAGGATACGTTTTTGGGATGACATCTGGTGCGGGGAGCAATCCCTTGTTAGCACCTTCCCTAAACTGTTTAGGATTGCTTTCGATAGACAAACCATGGTGGTTGTTGAAAAAGAGATATTCGGTTTTAATAAGACCAGATTTTAGGGGATATGATAGGCGTGTAAATATAGATAGTCAATGACTAAGGTTAGGAAATTCTGTTAATGTACAGCCTGTAGTTTCCTATTACAGCCTGCTAGTTTCCTTTTTTTAGCTCCTTGTATTTCCTATTTAACTAAAGCATTGTAAACCATTCTTTGTATGGCAATATACAGATTCTTTTCAATCTTGAAATTGCTTATTTGGTATCAGAGCATCTTACCGATTCTTCTGAAAAAAAACCCCCCTAGCCGTCTCTTTTTTTTCTTCTTCGAAACAACCCTAATCACCATGTCTGATGACGTACCTGAGTCCAAGACCAAGACCTTTGAGTCCCAAGTCCAAAACTCTCAGACACACTCGGTCCAGATTACCACAATTCAGCTGAGGGTGAAAACTTCCTTCGTTGGTTCAAATCCGTGCGGATGTACATCCGAGGCTGTAATGACCTGGTTTCTTTTTCCTCCTTTTTCTTTTTCGGTGATTTTCTTTTTTTGTCTTTTTCTTATTTTGTCTTTTCCCAATTTTGTTTTTTTCCCGTTTATCATTTTTCCTTGCATAACCTCACTTGTTGTGCTCGGATTTGATTCCGGTTTTACATGCATTCATGATATTTGATTTCTATGACATTTGTATTTTTACTTTTGTAGAAATTACATTCTAATTGCTTACTTTTTCATAAAGGGCATAGATGCATACTTTTTTGTAAATATTCTTGATTTTTGGGTTTTAGTGTAATTATGAAAAATAATTATTTTTCGTCTAAGGGACCATGTTGCAATTTAAATTGTAAGATATTTTCAAAAAGAACTTTTTTGTAATTTCCGAAAAGTGTGACAAGTGTCACACTCTCATGGTGCCACTTGTTGGCATTGGGGTGGAGTAACTTGGAAGTTTAATTTCTTGACACATGGAGGGTGGAGGTTCACCCATTTGTTGGCGTAGGATTGGACCACTTGTTGGCTTAGATGGTTGACAAGTGTAGGCTTAGGATTAAGCCTAGGAAGGAGCCTTGGATTTGTAACAAGTGTAGGCACCAAAATAAGTCTTGCATTGTGTGTGTGTGAGAGGTAGTGTAAGAGCACATAGTGAGTGGAAGAATACTAGATCCTTCACTCACCATTTTCACTTCTTCTTTATCATTTACACTTGTTCTTCAAAAGCCCTAACCTAGCCACCATTGGAGAAAAGCTTGGTTAATAGCTTACTTCTTCATTTTGGCCTTCTTCCACTCACCTTAAACATAAAACCTTGGGAGAAAAAAGTTTCCTTTTGTTCTCCTCTTCATTAACCCTAAACTTGTTTTCCATTTTGAGCTTGGTTGTTTGGATTATAGAGATTCGATTCTCTATTGAGGTAGGGGTGGTAGTATGTTTATATTTTAAGTGTTTTAAAATCCTTTGGGGTTTGATATATATTGTGTACATGCTTTTAATATGATAGTTTTGCATATTATATGAAACCCTCACTTTTGACTTAGGGTTTATTTATATAAGCATGTATGATATGTATATACCTTGTGTAGAAGGATTACATGACCTTGTGGTGTGTTAAGTTCTAGTGTCTTCACATGTGGTAGTAATATAGAACTCTAGTAGAATTATTGATGTTATATGCAAGTCTTGTTAACTTGAATTGCTATAAATATTATGATGATAATTCTGTACTCTTATTGATTACCATTTGTAATTATCTTAGAAGCTTATTGCTAAAATGTTAAGATTTAGAAAATAAAGCTTATTGTCGAGGCATGATTTAAATTGATAAGTTAGTTTTGTGCATTACATCATAATGAGAACTTGTCATTTGTTATGCCATTCTAGACTTGGAACCCTAAGACATGGTTTGTGTGGTTTCAAAAATACTTGTGCATGGAAGGTTGGTTACATGCCTTAAATTATGGTATATAAGTTTTGAACTTGATATATTTTGGATTCTCTTGGGAAATTGTTACAAGTGACATGGCTAGAGTTTGACTCTAGTGCGGGAGGTATGAGTTCTCCGCAATTGAGATAGTGCGCACTAGGGTGGTCTTCCCAGCGGGTTAATGCCTGGAATAACCGTTGAGGTCTCGGCAGAATTCCGAGCTTAGATATCCAAGGATTCCACCTTTTGATTTCGCATTCAATTCCAAGTTGACAATAAATGTTTAAATTGTAACTTGTAATTTTGTTACATGCGATTTGATGTTGTTAAGTACATCCATATTGATACTGTGTTGCTAAGAAACATTTAAGTTAGCTTAAGATGATCCCTTAGAACACCTTGAACATAGATGTTAAGTGGAATGCTCCCTCGTATTCGTCTATATTGATCTTGCAATGATATTGAAACTTTAGGCTATACGCATATGCTTCTTCATACGAGTAACTTGATTAGTCACCCTAGTGGTTTGGGTTGTTTTACAGGTAAGGAGACAATGTTTTTGGATGCTCATCATCCTTATAGGCTCATGAGCCATTTGAAGCATTTTTGTATAAGGATATGCACTTGTTTAACATGTTTTTC